TGGAGCAGGAGATGGATCACTTCCTTTAACATATTTCAGTCACTGTTGATATTCTTATGCCAAAATAATTGTATAAGAAGCTTGCAACTTTTATGACTAAATTACGGCAGGCTAGTGAACTTGCATAAAGCTACAATTACATTTCTAGTCCCTTTCACTTTACAATTCCTTTTTTAAAAAGTGTAAAACACACAGCAGCTGTTGAAGGAGAGGATCATTGCCAAAGTAAGGAGTCAGCTGTTTGGACTTGACTTCTCTGCCTATAAGCATCAGGTGATAGGAAAGACCTGCCTCAGACTACTGCAAACACATTTCCAGGGTACAATACACCAGGTTAAACAGATCAACTCTTCATAAAGCAACCTGTCATCAAGATCAATCAGTATGTTCTGCAGGAAATAAATAAAAAAAGGAAATTCAGACTAACAAAGAGGACTGCACATCGGTGTTGCTACAGTGATATGTATTATCTAAAGATAATAATCTTAACCAGCATTGTCATCAGTATGGACACTTGTATTAACAGAAAAATTAATTAAGAAGGTCCTCCAAGCCCTACGTAACAACCAAGCAGCTTGAGAACTTGTTTTAAAACACAGGGCATCCAGCCCAGAGTGGAACCCTTGCAGTTGGATGGAGATTTAATCCTAGGTCCCACTGCAATTGCACCTTTAAATTACATTTTTTTAAAAAGACAATATTTTGGTATCTTAAATTGCAGCACAAATCTAATCCAGACAAGAACAGCAAGAGCTCCCCACACAAACATTTTGGGGTCCTAGTTCAGTGCATTTAACCTGAGTTTAAAAAAAGAGAGATGATACAACTTCTAATTACAGTTCTAAAGTAACGTGTGCTTTGACCTGCATCACCACATGGAACAGTGAATACCAAAACACCATCCTTCTGCTCAGAACATGGTGATGTGGAAGTTTTAGACCTGGGCGCTACTTGGATGAGAAACTAGCAGGCAATACAGTACTAGGAATCTCCAAGTAGGGCTGGAATAGAAGCTGCTGTTAGGCAGAGTTGAGAAGCCCGGACTAGCGGGGCCAATGGGCCATGTCCGTGCAAGGCGGCTTCCTAATCGTCCTAACAGGCGGTGCCAGTAAAAGGGAAGGCGAGCAGGGCATCATCCTCATCAAGCCTTAATCTCCCTAATGCCCTGAACCACTCTGGGGGTGGTGGTCCCAAGGCGGTCTTTGGGGTAGGAAAACAGCGGGGCCGTTTAAGGTCCGACTCAATGGTCTCAATGAGACACGTGTCGGGAGAGCAATAACGAGTTGCAACACAAAGCAGACCAAGAGCCGTAAGAATCGACAACAGATAGTGGAACAGGGCAATGCAAGGGACCCAAGCTGGCGCCTCTTACCACTGGCCTCTCCGTCTCTACTGCAGCGGCTCAATCTCTCCTTTAGCCCCGAGAGCCGCGGGTGCAAGCGAGCCGCAAAGCCAGCCTCTGCCATAGGGAACGCTGCCTCGGCTTCTACCGTCACGTGACTTGCCATGCCAGTCTTCTCATATGACCACTCTCCCGCTCTACCACGCCCCCTTCCCGTACCGTCCCTCCATCACGTGATCCGCAGGGCGCCTTTGCGTTGCCACGTTCTGAGTGGAGGCAGGGAAGGCACAAAGAGATATGAACATGTTAGAGACGCGGCTGAGCCTGATTTTCGAGTAACTTTTGTAGCGTTTGAAGTTTGTGGCAGGGAAGACGCAGTGGTCCCATGGAGACCAATGCATTTATGACAACATGGACCTCTCTGTGGGCCTTAGCCTATTTCATTAAAACGCCTGATAGGGTCTTCGTATTTATTTATTTACTTATTATTTATTTATATTTTATCCAGCTCAACTAGTGACAGAGTCACTACTCCAGGCAGCAAAATAAATAAACAAAAATAAAAATCATAACAACACAGTTCAAACAACCCCGATAACACCCACAGAATTGTCAAATGTGAAACATAATACCAAAAGATAAAACAACTAGTAAAAACATAGACTATAAAATATCAAATATATTAAATACAATAAAGGGGAAAACAGGGCAGGTAGATAAACAGAGGTGGGGGAAAAGACCCATTGTTCAGCAACGTTAGTCTGGAGTCAGGCCATAGAAGGCTTGTGAGAAAAGTCAATTTTTAACTTGTCTCCTGAAATCAAAGAGGGATGGGGCTAACCGTACCTTAGGTGGGAGCCAGTTCCAAAGTGATGGAACAACCACCGAGAAGGCCCTGTTTCAAGCGGCAGATTTTTGGGCCTCTCTTGGGGTCACCACCTGCAACATCCCAGTGTATGTGGGGATGGGTAGGATGGATAGACATTTTGAGGAAGAGGTGCTCAGACAGGTAGCAAGGCCCGCCTAAACCGTTAAGGGATTTAAATGTTAACATAAGTACTTTGAACTTGGCCTGGAAGAATACAACCAGCCAGTGCAGATGTGCCAGGACAGGGGAAATACACCAGGACCCCCCATATCAACTGATTATTTCCAAGACCCCATCAATACTGAAAACCGTGGATAATAGCCAACACTGTACAGGTATATACACCATAGCAAAGGGGAAAAAATAAAAAAAATTTGATTTCACGTGCATTATCAGAACCGACCACCACGTCCCCGAACTGAACACTAGAAAGCACCAAATACCATGCTATGTATTCTTCACTAACAAGTATTCATAGCACTAAAAATGGATCAGGCATAGGGAAATGACTCAGAATAGGGCAATTTTAAATCTGTCTGAAAGAATATGGCTCAGAATGGTGTATAGTTGGACATAAAGTAGCAGTCCTTCAACAGTTGTCCTCACCTTTTTAAGTTCTCTTGTGAATCAGTCAGGTCAACATCTTCCCTTTCACAAATTAGCCTGCATTGTGTAACAATAGTTGCTCAACATAACTCATCATCCAGTGAGTTGCATTAGTGTATTACAGATAAGTAAAGTACTTTAGATAATAATTTTGAAATCAAGCAAATGCTGTTCTTCAGATTTTTTATCAGATGTGAGTGGCCATGTTTTGGTTAACAGGTGTTATAGAATTGTGCTTATAACAATACTGCATTCTTAGTTTCAGTCCTTTCCCTATTTATGTAGGTTTACAGTATATTGTAATTTTGACTTTTAATTACGCACAAAAGCTTTGCTTCAAATAGCTGTTTAAGCTAATTCTCATCAGGTGTCTTCCTACTTTCCTTCTACCTAACCAACTTGGATTGTGGTTGAGAAAATAAGAATTTACATGCAGATACACACACACATAGACACACACCCCATATCTGTCATACTTGGTAATTCATCCTTGGAATGAGGCTTAAAAATACACATTCACCTACATTATAAGGGTCACATGAAGGAAAGTTTCTGGAGAACAGAGTTTATGAATATTCATGTCTCACCATGTTCTCCATGAGTAATTTCCAGTATTACTGTGAGGAAGTGTTGTCTTGGAATTCAAGCAGTTTTGGTTAAGATTTAAGAACATTTTACAACTAATGTGTCTAATGATTAACTTACAGCAGACTTAATAGACTTCCTCATCTCACATTACCTGTGGGATATTATCTTCATTCAGTACAGTATTTTAACTTCAAGGCTCCAACCACTGTTTGCTGCAAAACATTATAAAATGTAAATCATATTTCTTGCTGACAGCATTACAGTGGTAGTCACAATGTAAAGGGAGAAGTCACATTTCAAATATACATTTCAAATACTGTATATCCTCCTTCGGGAGGAGAAGGTATATGAAAAAGCCATAAAGCATTTTTTTTTCATAGCTTTTTTTATAGAACACAAGCCAAGAAATGTTACATGAAGACGTAATCCCTGTGCATGCCTGTTTGGAATAAATTTAATTAAATCCTGTAAGATATATGTGTAAGACAGAGTTAGATGCGCCACGAAAATGTTAAAAGCAATATTGTGGGACCCAAATGCAATGAGGCAATTGATATTGGTTGTAATATGATTTAGAGCCAAACTGTGTATAATGGGCCACTGATTTGACTGCTGAGCACTGGTGGATTGTGACTGTCTTTATACATTCCCGTCATATCATTTATTCCAGTCTAATACTCTCTCCATACTAGTATCTACTTGTGGATGGTGACTGTCTTTATACATTGCCGTCATATCATTTATTCCAGTCTAATACTCTCTCCATACTAGTACCTACTTGTATCTTTCCAGCTTCAGGGGGCCGACAGTATGTGTAGGAAAAACCTCCCATTACCAATAGTATTTTTGATCAAAGTATTAGGCCTCAGTGGCTATACTGGAGTAAATAAGAAAATTGATGGTGGCAATCATTTTGTCCGTATTTAAGACTACTTTTGGATAGATTTACAAAACCAAAGGTAGATGATGCATAAGAACAAAACAAAATCCCCCCATGCTCCCAAGTGTATTGACCACCTAGGGGTTGTGGATGAATTCTGGTCACTAACGTGTAAATTTGCAAAAATTAATTCCCACACACAGTTATGGTTATAGCCTTGAAGATGGCAGGAAGAAAATAGGACACAAGTCCAGAAAATACCAAGCATCTCCCAGGATTTTTTTCACCTTTTACTTCAATTCATTCTAAGAAATGTATTGATTCTAGAAGGAGAGGGAGAGTCATGAGTGAAGGAGATTGAGTATCAAGGGTCAGTTAAAAATAGTATTTCCTGATTGGGCAAGAAGATGTGAGCCTGGCATTTCAACAAGAGCTCATTGAAGGCTCTTTTCCACCACCAACAGAACAAATTAGGGAATATCCAATACAGACGGTCACTGTTATGAACCTCATAATGTAGGAGGGCATATTGAGGAAGAAAGCACTTAACCTAAAATCACCTAGTGAATTTTTGGGAAGAGTTGAACCAGGAACTTTTGTATCAGTAGCTTAGCCTCACGGCTATTGCACTACAGCAGAGGGAGTGGGTGAAAGAGACTTATTGAGAACAGAGTCTCAAACATGATGGTGACTGTTCCGAAAACCCCTCAAGAGATTCGTCTCTGCAGAAAATAATCAGAGACAGAAAGAATTGTGCTATAAAGTTGACCAGACTCCAAAACAAAAATCAGCGCTGTAGGTCACTGAATACAAAGAGGGGCAAATGTTCACATTAAAATATTTTATCATTTTTCTCTGAATTAAAAAGAAGACTGTATAAAGGACTGTTTCTGTTTAAGAAGAGTATAAAACTCCAGAAGAAATGGTTGTTGTGGGTTTTTCGGGCTCTTTGACCGTGTTCTGAAGGTTGTTCTTCCTGACGTTTCGGCAGTCTCTGTGGCCGGCATCTTCAGAGAACAGGAGTAGGAACTCTGTCCATGCTCTGTTGCTGTTTGTTGGATAGTTGAGTATTTATAGCTGTGGGAACAGCTTTTGTCCTTTTCAGGCGATAGGGTGATGATGGTGATCAGCATGTTTTTGTTGTGGATGTACTGTTGTGATAAGGGGGAGAGATTATCTGTCACTGTGATTGATGGGTGTCTTTAGCTGGTATTTTTTGTGTAATGATCCCTGGTCCTTGTGGCTGGGGGGGGTTCTTTGACCTTTTGCAGGCTGTATTTTTCAGTGCTGGGAGCCAGGCCTTGTTAAGTTTTAGACTTTTTTCTTTCTTGTTGAAGCTCTGCTAGTGTTCTTTCTTTTCCAGAAGAAAGCTGGAAGGCTAAGCTTGTCCATACTACAGTATTCCAGGCAAATGTGCTTTGTTACCCTCTGAAATTTTATTTTCTAGAGCTACCTTAGCTAATCCTAAACATCTTTACTTAGAAGTAAGTCCCACTGCTTTCAAACTGCAATTACTGCAGCAACACTGTGCTTAAAGTCATCAGTTGGGACCATAGGTTGCTAGACAGCCACGGAGGGTTGAGATCTTGATTTCTTTTAATTTTTGCAGACACAAGAGTAGCTGATACCTTTTATTGGACCATGAAAAATAAAACAAACAAACTTTTGTGGATGAAATCCGCTCCCTCAAGAGTATAAGAAGCATTCAGAGATGGTGCAAAAACATTTTTGTAAGCAGACCGTGGTCCTTAGTTTCCTTCTTCCAAATTCACTTACCCCTTCTTCAAGGAAATGGTTCTCTTTCATCTGTAATGGAAGGCAGGCCACGAAGATTGTACCACATTGATCTTCAGCACACTTGCACAGAAGCCAGCTGTATAAACTTCTTTATGGAAACCTACACTTTACCCTGAATGAACATCTTGGAACAATATTTACTGATCATCTTGGGTGATTACATCTAATTCACAGCCCTATACTCACCTGTTCCATTTCACTAAAACTGCTAAGAAAATTTCCACAAATTCCCGCAAGCTACATCGAAACAAATGATGAATAAAACTAGTTAGGTCCACATGATCAGATAGCTGCAAATCACATTGGAAAAGGTCACTAACAGGAGTGATCTCCCTTAAAGCCACTCTTTTGAACTGCAGATTTAAAGGGTATATATGGACCACTTAGTCCAACCCTGTATTCCAAGTGGTAGTTTGTCTTCATTGATGGTCATTTAAAATCACTGGCCAAAATCCTCTTCTGTAAAGTACATCT